GATGGGGTAGTAAGATAAGCCCTAAGCAATTTGCATATGAGTCTGCAATACCACAACTGATTTGAACATCAGCCCTTTAACTCCAAGGCCATGTTTGCAAAATAATAATATAGTACCTGCTACACAGATTGTCAATATAATCACATAGCAAGTGAGGAAAGTTGCATTAGAATAAAATTGAGTTTATCACAGCAGGTAGTTAATAGTTTCATGGCAATGGCTTACTTGCCCAATATCAAGTGCATCAAAATCTACCTATTAGTAGCAGAGCTTAATCTTTGTATGAACGCAGTCTTGAATTCAGAGATATTCAGTTGACAAGGTCAAGTAGTACACGATCAGGAACCATGGAGACACACTGCCAATTATATTAGACCAGTGTTTCTCAACCTTGGCCCTTTGAAGATGGGTGGACTTCAACTCCCAGAATTCTCCAGACAGAAAAACTGACTGAGGAATTCTAGGAGTTGAAGTTCACCCATCTTCAAGGGACCAAGGTTGAGAAACACTACATTAGACAATATTGGACTAAACCAGTAGACATGAAGCCTGACCAATGATTTGACAACTACTTTAACCTTGCAACTCAATCTATTTGAAAGAGGGATTCGGACCTGCCCCAATATTTCCTTATCTCTATTAGCAATAGCACCTACAGTGGCAACAAGTTTGTTTTTTTCAGTTGCCTGGAAGCTTTTGTTCATATGTTACTCATTTTTTTTTCAACTTGGAAATGTTCTTGAAATTATTAAATTCATTATCCTTTTTCTTACCTGTTCATTCCTTCAGGTTAAAAACTCTTGGTATGAATGATTTCCAGAGGGAGGAATTCACAGCAAGGTAGTTAACAGATATCTACACATTCATTTACTTCTCCTTCAAGCTTTAACAATACTGTGTAATTGGGGATGGCACAAACTGAACACCAATAGATAGAAATCCAGGGTTTTGTTTTCATTACCAAGCTTTTCTTTCTTATGTAAGATTATTTCCCATATCTACGAAGCACTAGCGCTTTTTTGTGTAGGTGTTCATTAAGGCCATTCAGAGCAACAAAGATGATTTGGGGACTGAAGGCTAAAATATGAAGAATGGTTGCAGGGATTGGTATATCTAGCTTAATGAAAAGGACTATGATAGCAGTGTTCCAACATCTCATGGGCTGTCACAAAGAAAAGGGAGTCAAGCTATTCTCCAAAGCACCTGAAGGCAGGACAAGAAGCAACGGATGGAAACTAACCAGAGAAGCAACCTAGAACTAAGGAGAAATTTCCTGACAGCGAGAACAATCAGTGGAACGACTTGCCTCCAGAAGTTGTGGGTGCTCCAACATTGGAGGTTTTATGAAGAGATTGGATAACCATTTGTCTGAAATGGTACAGAATTTCCTCCTTGAGCAGGGGGTTGGACTAGAAGACCTCCAAGGACCCTTCCAACTGTTATTCTGTTTTGCTTTGTATCTGAAGACATTTTGCAGCATGGTTGTATGCAGGATTGTGGACCAGCAACAGTTGCATAACCCTATGCTGTTAATTTAAGGAGATGAACAACATTACCACAAAGTATCTTTTGCCTTCATGTCACAGTCTCCCTGCACATCTTCCCATAAGCCCTAGGTAACAAGATTTTTTAAATGGCAGTTATTGTTTAGGTGTTCACAGTTTGTGAGGGAAGCATCAACCCATCCTTTAGCGGTTTAAACCTTCCCAAAATTGCAATTTAAAAAAAAATCCATCAGGATCAACAAGAGGGATGTTCTTTTAAGTATTTGCAGAAGAGGAGAAAACATGATTGGGAGCGAGACTGTTGTAACAGTGTGTGTGAATAAGAGCAGCATGTACAGTATGTGTGAAGAGGTTCTGGCAAGCATGTATCTAATTTTCTATATGGAAATGTGATCAGTAGGTTTCGTCGTCATCATCATCAAATGGTTAAACATTTATTTACATCATACCTTTATTATTTTTACAAATAACTCCAAGGTGGCGAACATACTCAACACATCTTTCTCTTCCTTTTTTCCCCTACAACAATAACACTGTGAGATAGGTTGGGCTGAGAGTGACTGGCCGAAATTCACGCAGCTGGCTTTCATGGCCAAGGCAGAATTTGAACTCACAGCATCCTGCTTTCTCGTTGGGTGCCTTATCCACTAGACCAAACTGCCTCTCAGATATGGCTGGGGAATGCCAAGAATTGAAATCCACACATTTTAAAGCGGCAGAGATGGAGCAGGCCGACCACCAGCTGGCCCAGCCCAAGGGAGGTAAGGCACCCGCCGGAAAAGGGGAAAAAATGGCAGACAAAAAAAATGGCAGACAGCCTTGCTTGGCGACTCCCGTGAAATGGCCGATCGACCCCAAATGGGGTCCCGACCCACAGGTTGAGGACTACTGACCTACAGGATGAATGTTCCTTCTTCAAAATCCAGCCTTGGAGAAAAGTGATTCTATTATCTGCCTGGAAGCCCAACAAGGAGGAGAAATGGTTTCAATCAGAAGTACAAAGACTCAGTTTACTTAAATAATCTTTAATGGTGGATCATGCTCTTATTTCAGAAGATTTCTAACAGCACAGACAAGCCTAGAGTTCATCCAAGGTACATATAATAGCCAGGTGAGAGGAAGGTACATTTGATTGCTAAAAGGAATACCAGTTTCAATTCTGACACCAAAGCAAAAAACTAACATGATGTACCAATAGGCAGATTAAAGGCAAGGAGAAGGGAGAAAATGAGAGACGAAGCGGCGGGGGGGGGGGCAGTTTATGTTTCACTTCAGTTCAACTGATATGCCATTTCTTCCCGGAACCATGTGTTGGACCAAACCCTTAGCAAAGGCAAGACAGCTGTATTGTAAAACTGCTTGGGAGACAGTAAAATTCCAAGCAAAGCACGGGGGAGGGAGGGGAATTACCAGATTACCTTGCCGTGCCATGAAGGTGAAATGCCAACTAGACAGGCTTTGAAGAATGGTTCCTTTTCCTTCGATGTGACCCTCAAAATGATGACACAAACTATAACAAAATGCTTCTTCCACAGTTAACATTAAAAAGAGCAACCCATTTAGTCTTGATGCACTCCATGAATATCTTTAAGCAGTCATTTTGCTATGACCCTCAGATTTTGGCCACAGCCACTTAGAGCAGCCTTCAACTTGCTCACTTCTAACTGTACTGGAGCACAACTTCATGCAGCCATGCTGGTTGAGGATTATGGGAGCTTTAGTCCAACGTATCTGGACAATGGCAGATTGAGGTAGTCAAATTTAGAAGAGGGCATCAACAAGCTTCCGGTTCACTCTAGAAGCAGTCCTTGCTATCTACTCACCTCAAGTTTAAAAATGTATTTCCCTTTGTACTGAATCTGCTTGCAATAGTAAGATCACATGTTATTGGCAGCAACTGGGAGCTAGAACAAGGGAACCGAGTGCCTATTTATAGATATAACATTTGTCTAAGAACCTGAAGAGAGTGAGCACAGTCTGAAGTTGGTTTTGTACCTCAGGAGAGGGGCCCACAAGAGATTTCCAAATTATGACTGATGGCACACCCGTTAATAGGATGACAATAGCCCACTAGTATTAAAGGTAGCACATGAATGGGAGTCAAAAGCTGTCAGAAAGTAGATTCCTTAGTCAGAAACTTGTACAGACTGTCCTGGGTATGGCTGGACTTTCAACTATAAAACCTTCCAAGGTGCAGAACTAAAAAGACTGACCTGGAAAGGACTTAGATCTATTTTTTTCTTCCATGACTTATTAGATATTTCTACTCTACATAGTTTCAAAGAGTAGAAGTTGCTATATGTTGTTTTCTCCAGATGTGTTATCTACTCACAGCAAAAGGCTTCATGCTAATGCCAAACAGTGACTGCAAGAAGCCTGTCCAGGCATTTCTATGGCTTTTCTTCCTGCTATATGTGAAAAAGGGGTTTCTTTTTCCATATGCAATGGTTTCTATCGCTCTCAAACCCAGCGAGAGAGAGAGAGAGAGAAAGAGAGAGGGAGGGAGGGAGGGTCAGGTGTAACAAGCACTTTGAATCTTCTGCATTCTAACCAGTCCAAACAATTTCCATATCTCAGGAGCTTCTGCATCAGACATTAGAACAGTGGCTGCAATAGGGGTGGAAATGATCTCCCAACTTGAGGAAACACCCCCCCTCAACTAATCTTTAAAATAGCTGAAGGAAGAAGCAGTCCAAAAACGGGGCAACACTGCCAGAGTGTATAAACTCTTCTTCCATGGATAATGATTTCTGCTCTAACACCCTCTCCTCCTGCACTTGCACCATTAACTCTGTAGGTAGGGGAACCAAATGCTATCATTCCTGAGCTAGTAGCAACTTTGGGAAAGTAGATGAGACCCAATTAATGGCTTAATGCAACGCCACACATCCTCCCACCCCAACTGCTGACGAGTGTCACTGATCCAATCAAGCCTAAAATTACTTAAAAATTTGCTTTAAAAACAACTGATCTCAGACCTCGTTCATGGTTTCCATTTTGAACCTAAGATATATAATTAATAACAATCATAATAATTACTCCTAAACTCCTTCCGTGCCAGGCAGGTATCTTGGCTCCAAGGCTTTCCTCCAGGAATCACCTTGTTTTTTCAGTGCCAGAATCATCTTCAATCTCCTTGCTACATTAATAACTGCACTGAGCTTCTTTTATAATACTTGGTATAGAGGGAAACCAAGAGTTTTACAAAAGATACAGAACAAATGGTTTGGCATGCTAACAACAATACCTCTATTATCTCAAGTCCACTTTGTCTTTGACAGCGCAGAGTTGTCCACCTTTAAAGCATGGAGGGAATCAAAGGTTAGTGCTTTCCCTGAGCCAAAAAAAGACAAACATTATTGGGTTTTGAAAGGAAATGACAGGCAAAGAATTTGTCTCTTGCCCCTCTTCATACTAGATTCATACTCAATCTTGACAAAATTAAGATGACTAGATGTTATTACTTTAAGATGTCATGCTGGCTGGAGAATTCTGGGAGTTAAAGTCCAGACATTTTAAAAGTTTCCATGCTTGAGAAACACTAGACTAGAGCTTAACACTGAAAAACAGAGGCTCTTGCACAGTGGGATTGACAACAATGTACTGCCCTGATGGCAAAACGCAGGGCTGGTTCCAGCTTCTCAGAATTGCTTGACCAGTCAACGTGAACCCCCTGAAACAAAAGCGAGGTAGTGCAAGGCACCCCCAGAAGACTTTGGCCCTGGCAGATGTTGCTCAGGATACATATAGACATGCTGGTGTTTCTTTTTGCCACCAGACAAATGTATTCACATGATACAAATGTATTCCAGAATTTATTCTGCAGTTCCTTTCCACCTCTTTGGCCTTGGCTTACAAATGATCTGACCAGCCTTTCCATTCACACTACAGATGCTTTGCTTGGTTACTGGATCTGAACCCTGGAGACGCTTCTGTGCACCTTTCAGGAGACCCCGGCAGATAACCAAGTGCAAAGAAATCATGGAAACCTTTCCAAGAGATACTGAAGGAAACACACACACACACACACAAAACAGGAAAGTAGAAAAGACTCTGGGATGAGGGAGGTGGATGGTCAGGCTCTCTTTGCGCTCACAGAACAGCCCCAGCTAGTCAAGACAGTGTAGGGCTGAAAGGGAGACCGATTATGAACGAGTCTCTTTCAGCAAGTATCCCGGATGGAGCTGATAGTCAGAAGGTCTTCCTCCTGGATGGTCTCCAGCATCTCCGTCTGCACAGCCTGGGTGATGAGAGTCAGCTCCTGGGAAAGTGTCTCATAGCGATAGGCTACCCGAATATCTGGCACATTGGTACGACGGATGTCATTGCCTTCAGACCCCTCCTTCAGGTAGTTGGGTCCAAGCCAGTAGCTCTTCACCTGAGGGACAAAGGCAGAAATCAATCCAGGGTTAAGACAAAGGACAACCTATGTTTTCCACCGAACATTTGAAGACAAAAGCATTAATGAAGGATACAGTATAATTCATAATCACTCCAAGAATAAGATGGTCAGTTTCTAAATTTAATAAATAAATAAATAAATAGTTTTAAAAACAAGAGCCAGTACCAACAATACCTTGCTGTTTCTCCCCCTCTCCCCCACACATGCAAACTAATATAACAGTCCCCATTCATTCACGGGTCTTAAATTCTCGCCTTATGTTCATTTTAGTGCTTCTCTGGACTTTCGTCTAGCAAAGAATTGTACAAATGGCTCAATAGCATCCCACACCCCCAGAAAGGCTACCTTTCATTCATTCCATGAGAACAAGAAACCTTAGAGGCACAGTGGTACTACAATGGCAAAGTCAGATAAAGTCTTGGGACAGGCATTTCTGCTTTTGGTTCCTGGTTAAAACTGTCAGAGAAAAGGCCTTAAACACCCATCTTATTTTCATGTCTGTTCATTCAATGGGCTAAGTTTCACTGAGATTTTGATCAAGGGTTGAATGCCTCCTGGAATTTTACAAGATGTATCAAGGTGCAATAGGTTTAACCATGCCCTATTAATATACCTAATTCCCTGGCATCCACACACAACAAGTAGGCTGCCCTAAGTTTAGAACAAACCAATGATTTGGGGATGTATAAAGAGCCTTTGGGGGGAAAACCTACGGAAAACTAAAACCAGTTTAATAAGGATTGAACATAATAAGTGAGAATATAATGGCAGCTATTACGTACATGGGAGAAGGGAAGGACTAAGAAAAAAAAGGGCACAGCAGATACCGGCATTTTGAATTCCACCCACTGCACTCTTTAAGACAAATTATTTTTGAACTTCATAAATCAGGAGGGTGGCTACCTCAACTGCTGAAAGGATCACATCTGCAGAGGTCTTTATGGGAAACCTCCCCCCCCCAACATAAAATTTATTCATTTCCAGCCTAATTTTCTACAACTGCTATGACCCTTTCAGAACAAAGTCTGCTCTTTCGCTGCAGATGGAAGCAAAGGAAGGGAGGAGTTGGAAATGCTTTCTTCAACATTAGCCTTGAGTCATCTTCTTCCCTTGAGTGCAGACTTGGTTGAAGAGGAGGCCGCCTACAGGTTTTAAGTCAGTGGTTCTCAACCTTTTTATTGCCGCGACCCCAACTGGTCGTAAGTCGAGGACTAAACCGGTCGTAAGTCGAGGACTAAACCGGTCGTAAGTCGAGGACTACCCAACCGGTCGTAAGTCGAGGACTTTCCCTGCCCGGAGCGCCGCGCATGTGTGGTTCCGCCCCCTGCGCTGGCCGAGGCGTAGCTGGCAAGCGGCAGAGACGGAGCAGGCCGACCACCAGCTGGCCCAGCCCAAGGGAGGTAAGGCACCCGCCGGAAAAGGGGGAAAAATGGCGGACAAAAAAATGGCGGACAGCCTTGCTTGGCGACCCCCGTGAAATGGTCGATCGACCCCAAATGGGATCCCGACCCACAGGTTGAGAACCACTGTTTTAAGTTTTCTACACAAAACAGGCTGGTTCACATGAATAAGTCTCTGTAAATCCCCCCCCCCCTTTTGAACTTCAGAGCATTGTTTTGGGAGCTCACAGCCTGAAGTCAATCCCTTTCACAGAAGATTCTACATTACCTTGTGGGAGAAGCCACTCATAAGCACACTGTTCCGGGCAAGTTCACACATATCACAGGAGCTGAGCTTCCAAACCTGTGTGGCAATGCTGTACTCTTCCATCAAGGGTTCCTGGAAGCGATACTGTCAGTCAGACCCAGATACAGGCACACAGAACATTAGCAAGCAGCAAAATATGATACAGGACTGGCTTCAGGAACGTTAGTGTACATCAAATTAGTTGTGCACAACGCAAACTGTATGCAGTAGGCAGCAACTGAGAAGTCCAGAGCTATCAGCTAGATTGGGAAGTGGAGAATTATCCCACAAGAAGGCAAACCACTTCCACATCAGGACAAAAATCCAACATCAGTAAGGCGTGAAGCTTGATTTCAAAGCAAGTTTACCTTGAATAAAAACTGAGCAGAAAACATTTCCAGTATTTTATCTCTGACAGATAAATTGGAGAACAATTGTGTGCCTGGGATAAGTGAATGATATAGTTAGCCCTTGACTTATGGCCACAATTGAGGCCAACATTTCTGTTGTTAAGTGAGACATTCGTTAAGTGAGTTTTGCCCCATTTTACGACCTTTCTTGCCACAACTGCTAAGCGAATCACCACAGTTGATAAGTTGGCAACCTGGCTGCTAAGTGAATCTGGCTTCCCCACTGACTTTGTTTGCCAGAAGGTTGCAAAAGGTGATCACATGACCTTGGGACACAGCAATGATCGTAAGTATGAACAAGTGGCCAAGCATCTGAATTTTGATCGCGTGATCATGGGGATGCTTCAAGAGTCGTAACTGTGAAAAACGGTCGTAAGTTACTTTTTCAGTGCCATTGTAACTTTGAATGGTCACTAAATGAACTGTTGTAAGTTGAGGACTACCTGTAAACAGCTAAAGCAACATCTTACTCTTCCAAAAACAGGGGTGGTGTACTTGTTCCAAGCTGCCATAAATATTTCTACAGACTGAACTAAACACAGCCTGTTGTTATATCTACACCATTTTTACTTTAGTTCTTATGACCAAAGTTTGATCTTTGAGCCATTAGGTGGAGACATTTCAATTACACTGGACAATAAAGATTTTGCTTCCCAACACATTCCTGTGTATTAGCAACAGTTTAGCTGCTAATCACAAAAATAACCTGTAATTTAACCTATCATGTACCATTTTATAGAAAGCTTGGCAATGACAATATACACCCTTCAGTACCTATGATGCACACATGAAATAAACAAAAAAAAAACATGGAACTGTTGTTGAAACACTTGATGATGATGATGATGATGATGATTATGATGGAAGGGACCTTGGAGGTCATCTAGTCCAACCCCGTTCAGGCAGGAAACCCTATATCATTTCAGACAAATGGCTGTCCAGTTTCTTCTTAAAAACTTCCAGTGTTGGAGCATTCACCACTTCTGGAGGCAGGTTGTTCCACTGATTAATTGTTCTAACTATCAGGAAATTTCTCCTTAGTTCTAGGTTGCTTCTCTCTTTGGTTAGTTTCCATCCGTTGCTTCTTGTCCTGCCTTCAGGTGCTTCTTGCCTTCTTGTCTTCTTCTACTTTGGAGAATAGCTTGACTCCCTCTTCTTTGTGGCAACCCCTGAGATATAGGAATACTGCTATCATGTCCCCCTTCGTCCTTCTCTTCATTAAACTAGACATACCCAATTCCAGCAACTGGAATTCCTTATATGTTTTAGCCTCCAGTCCTTAATCATCTTTATTGCTCTTCTCTGTACTCTTTCTAGAGTCTCAACATCTTTTTTACATCGTGGTGACCAAATCTGGATGCAGTATTCCAAGTGTGGCCTTACCAAGGCACTGTAAAGTGGTATTAATACTTCACATAATCTTGATTCTATCCCTCTGTTAATGCAGCCTAGCACTGTGATGGCTTTTTTGACAGCTGCAGCACACTGCTGGCTCATATTTAAGTGACTGTCCACTAGGACTCCGAGATCCCTCTCACAGTTACTACTATTGAGCAAGGTACCACCTATACTATACCTGTGCATTTGGTTTTTCTTGCCTAAATGTAGAACCTTACTTTTTTCACCATTCAATTTCATTTTGTTAGCTAGCACCCAATATTCAAGTCTGTCAAGATCCTTCTGTATCTTAAGCCTGTCTTCTGGAGTGTTGGCTATTCCTGCCAGCTCCTTGCAGTACACCAAGTACAACAGGAACATCTTCAGAGATCTAAAAGTAGTGGCTCTGCTGCTTGGAATAAAGCATTATGCAATTAACACATGAAAGAGGCAGAGGAACAATTTTATACAGCTATGTTTTGTTTCTAACATTTTGCCACACTACCTTAGCTAAAAAGGAGGGCATCTTTCCTCCCTTTTGCCATCTTTCATTCTTTTGGATCACACCCGCTACATGACACTCACCTTAGTGAAATGGAACTGCAGGGGATCATCTGTGGACAGGGAGACCATGAGGCCCCGAGACAGGTACTCAGGTAGTGGATTACGATGGTAGCTTAAGAACAGACTGTTATTGCTAAGTGGAGACATAGCAATGCCAATCTGAGCCAGGTAGTAGAGATACTGCAGCACTGGTGCCTAGAGAGAAACTCAATGTTAAGGCATGGGGTAACTCCAGCAAACACTGAGCCCTGCTTAATGTTTGCTTCTGGATAAATATACAGGGATTCCCCTTCCTTTAAGCCACTTGGAACAGTCATGAATAGAAGCTCTTTCAAGAAACTGCAAATATCTCCAGCATGCCCAATAATGATCTATTCACATTTTCTTTTTAGGAGCATGGCTCCTCACGTGGTTAGGATGCTGGGTTGACCAGCAGCAAGCCAGCGTTCGAAACCAGAGTGCTGCTGTGGGATGGGGTGAACTCTTGTCATTTGTTCCAGCTCCTGCTGACTTAGCAGTTTAAAATTGTGTAATTGCAAGTAGACGGATGGGTACCACTTTGGTGGGCACATTAACAGGGACATGAAAGGAGCTCCCAACTGGGCATCCTCCGGGCAATAGTGATGTCACTGGCTAATCCTTTCAACCCGGAAGCACCTTTTTTTTGCTTTTTCTTTTCTTTTCTTCTTCTGCCTAGGTTCCCACTGCATGCTTAGCACAACAGTAGCCTTTATCACAATACCCAATGGTATGTGGTGATTTAAGTTAACAGCTTGGCTTCTAAGCAACGTTTCTGCTTCATCGTATATACAGGCATATCCAGAGGTCCTTGTTTTATATGTGGTACCAACTCATTTGCGTTCCCTTACCTTGCGGAGAAGGAGGCCATGAGATATGTTCTCTGACAGCATGAAACCTGACACAAGATGATGGATGGGTCCTGCCTCCCCACAGTGGGGTCGCACCACAAAGGTGTGGAAGCCCCGCTTTCTAAAAAAAAAAAAAAAAAAAGGAAAGCAAAATATACAGCTCAATCAGATGAATAGCATTTTGGAAAAGGAGAAGTCAAAATGCTGGTAAGATGGAAAGAGGAACAGAAATTAACACCCAACTTACAGCACCAAAGATATGAAGCCGAAACACAGACCACAAGATCTGAGAATCTGAGCATGTAATATGTCACCAGTATTACCAGAAAGGTGAGAAAACATTACTCAAGGCCTTAAAAAAAACCACAGACCACAAGATCTGAGAATCTGAGCATCTAATACAGGGGTAGTCAACCTTGGCTCTTTTATGACTCGTGGACTTCAATTCCCAGAATTCCTGAGCCAGCTTAGCTGGCTCAGGAATTCTGGGAGTTGAAGTCCACGAGTCATACAAGAGCCAAGGTTGACTACCCCTGATCTAATATGTCACTAGTATTACCAGAAAGGTGAGAAATGGTTATTCAAGGCCTTAAAAAACCCTGTGATTCTGGGGCAGACTCAAATTCAGAAAAGGTGGGCGAGGAGGGAGATAAGAAGCAGACGAGCTTACCTACGCAGATGATTCAACACCACCATATTAGCATATGTGTAATAAAGGTAATAGGAATATGGTGGATTATCTTCTTCCACCCAATTGCCAGGCAAGGGACTGTCCAAGTTGAAGATGTGGTGCTCTGGCTTGGACTCATCGTCTACGCTATCAAAACCGTCCACCTGCCCATTCAGAACCCAGAGAAGGAAAGAAAGGGAGAAGATGAAAATATGCCTGTCAGTTTTGGGACCTCTCGCATCTTCATTCGCTGTATGCAAATTAGGCAGAGTGGTCACGACCATGATTTAAGACTGATATATATCAACCATAATCAACCATATACCATCTTCAAGATCAAGTATATCCAAGAATCACATATGTAACATTTGTGTACAACCATCCTTCACTCTGCCCCAAATGCAGAGGTACTATGAGCCATCCCTTTAGCAATTACTAGGAATTACGATTGCTTTTTCCAGTATCCCTACTTACATGCTCCAAGAAGAGATGCAATTCTGGGTGGCTGGCAGGATTGATGGTGGCTTCAAAGAGAGGTAAGAAAATGTTCTCCAACATCTCCTGAAAGTTGGCCAACTGTTTCTTTGTTTTGTATACGTCGCTGTTAAAAGTCAAGATACAAAAAGGGATGGTGCTCCATCCATCACACATAACTCTCTTCATTCCCGATAGTTGACAACAGTGTTCCTCAGACCTTGTTCTGAGCTGACTGAGGGCTATAATTAGCAGTGGTGTAGTGTGACACTCCACATACCCACATCCTTGGAAGAAGAGGAGAGTGGGGAGCACATTTCCTAGAAGACTGAACTAGTTCACTTTTTTCTTTTTTTTTGCTTCTGTTGTCAATGTATTAGGTGGTACCTAATTCCTTGTTCTCTGGGGAGAAAATCTCAAGCTGCTCACAATCACCTTGTAGGGGAGATGGGCAGATAAACTTTTAATAAATAAATAATTTTAATAAATAAATAAAGGTATGTTACCAGTCAAATTGATTTTACTCTGGTACCAGAAAACTGCAAACACTTCTTCCCACTTCTCTGCTTTCCCTGGCATTAAAATTACGATGGAAATTATGAAGAAATAATTAAGTGTTCCTTCATCACACTTAAAATCAGCTGCTTTGTGGTAAGGCTTGCACAGCTTCTGGGAATGAAAGATCACTTAAGTAACCCAACTGTTTCAGCAATCCGATTCCCAGTAGTCTTCACTGCATATGTCATACAGCAGAGATGGCTGGAAGAAATAACTATCTTACACCCAAAGGTGCTTTTTCCAAAGGCGTGCAAACATTTTGCTTCTCATCCAAAAAGCTTCTTCAGTCCTGAAGTGAAGAAGCTTCTTGGATGAGAAGCAAAACATTTTCAGAGAAAAAGAAACAAGAAAGTCCAATTGCCTTTTGGAAAAAGCACCTCTGGGACAACCATGACCTGGATGATTTGAGAATCTCCATAGATAACTATCTTACACAATGATTTAGTAAGAGAGGATGTACTTTTGGGAAAACGTGCAAGTTTTATGACCATTTCTCAAATACTTTCAAAGTATAGCTTTGGTCCTGGTGCTTCTGTTGAGATTGTGGGGAAAAGATTTGCAACTGGCTCTTCCCCCATCCTCCCAACATTACCAACAGAGGGGTTTTTTTTCCTTTATGGTAGACAGAAATCTGTTGCAACCTTTTCCAGTTCAGATGTTTCATTATTCAACTAGATCAGGGGTAGGCAACCTTGGCTCTTTTATGACTCGTGGACTTCAACTCCCAGAATTCCTGAGCCAGCTTGGCTGGCTCAGGAATTCTGGGATTTGAAGTCCACGAGTCATAAAAGAGCCAAGGTTGCCTACCCCTGAACTAGATACTGTAACACCATCAGTGCAAGTCGTACCATTTTAGCTCATATAAGCTGATACTGTACTTTACTGAGCAGCTAAGTCCAAAGGGTGGTTTCCCACTGACTGGGATTACAACTGCTGTCAAAACTAGTGAAGTCAAAACTAAGATCCAATCACAGAATACTGAAGTGCTCTCTATATTTCTTATCAAAATGGTTGCTCTCCCTTACTGTCAAAAAATAAAGTGGAAAGCTACTGTATGCATAAAGAGCCCTCTATAAAGCAGTAGAATCATTTCCCCCAAGGATACCCAGATATATAATAAGGCACAGCGATCTCTATACCTGAATGCTCTGAAGTTGGTTCCAAGTTTGCAGCCTATAAGGTTTAACCTTAATAATACACGTTCAAACAAAATGGTTTTTGATACTCTTCTAAAAACAGACAGTGGAAGGGCAACATTTATCTTCTTTAGCACGGGTGTCAAACTCGCCACGTCACGTGACGTGTAGCGACGTATCGCGATATTTTTGCACTGCCGGCAATGGGGTGGGCGCGGCTTCCGTATGATGAAACTGGCCCGCAGGCCGGCAGTTTGACACTCCTTTAGGGTGTAATCTTAGTGCTTATGAAAAAAGCAAGTCCTAGACTCACTTTTTACTAGACAGAAGTGGCTATTGAGCACTGCTAATACAGCAGCTAATGTATGTAAAGCCTTTGTGATTCAGCGAGGGTCCGCATGCTTTTGAAACTGCAAAACCAAGAGAGAGGTACTCACAATAGCCGAGGCACCTGCACCAGCCAGCGTACATTGTTGGAATGCACTCTGTGGGTAACAGCCCACTTGGCTAACTTATCCCACTCATCCCGTGCTCGGCCGTAGATAGACAGTCGCAGTTCTGCATTCTGATATTTGCTCTCTTCTAGGTCAGACATTACCTCCTACCAGGAGAGAAAGGGCTTGTTAGCACTTTAAGAATAGGAGCTTTTTCTAAAAAAAGATACATGTTCTTATATCCTGCCTTTTGTCTGAGAGGTCTGGGTGACTTAGATGGGGATCTCTCCTCATTTTCTTCCCAAACAACAATCCTAGGAACCAGGTTGAGTGACAAAGAGATTGGTTTAAATTCATTCAACAAATTATGTAATTAAATAGAGAAACTATCTGCATAATACCTGATCTACTTTTGTTATTTTAGCCATAAGGTTTCTTATGTTCATGAAACACACTAGGCCAGAGCGTCCTTCATGCATAATACTAAGCCCAATATTAACCTATAGAATAGGCAAAGGGTAGGCAACCTTGGCTCTTTTATGACTCGTGGACTTCAACTCCCAGAATTCCTGAGCCAGCATAGCTGGCTCAGGAATTCTGGGAGTTGAAGTCCACGAGTCATAAAAGAGCCAAGGTTGCCTACCCCTGGAATAGGCTACGCATACCTTAATTTCTAATCACAATGACTGGGTAAGTATTGTAGCATGGCACGGTGTGCCACAAATATGTTGGCCTCAACTTTTGATAATTGAGGGACAAATGTATAAACATGTTAAGAGTAATGTTGTAATGTTCAGAAGTGAGTTATGGCCATTACTAGGCTTGTAGTAATCAAGAAACAACTTTTATACACACGCCACCTCTTTCTGCTCACCCCCTGCCACTTTATTACTTACTACTTTTATTACTTCTCCAAAACCAACCTGCTTGATTCTCCCAAGCTTCCAAGCACCAAAAGATAGCTATATTTAAATCTGCATAACTTGTTCAGCCCCCTGGCTTTAAGAAAGTACGTATAAATGAGGCCAGGCAGCTGCCAACCTTGCAAGGTAGTCCAGATGTGAAGCAAAACCAGATGAATTGATCCTACTTTATTATCAGGTTTTACATTAACGGAATCCTGCAAGTCTGAACATCCATTGCCCCCCCCCCCACCTTTACATCCCAAGGAACTAGGGAGGGTCCCTTCTAAGACATCTGCCATGCCGACATTCCTTCTGCAGGCTGTCTCTTGTCCAGCTGTTCCCTTGCCTGTGGCAATTCCCTGTCTTTCAAGGACATCCCCACGTACCATTACAGCAGCCCTCACCTTAATTATATGAGCAAAGTATTTTCCAGAGACTTCGTTGTCTGTTTTAATGAAAATCTCACGCAGGACAGACTCTCCTATGGGGTTGTATTTGGCATTGAACTTGTCAAACCGATGAAAGGTGTTGCGATCCTATTAATAGAGAGGATGCCAAGATAAATCCTGATAGGCCAGAATGCAACAGCACTGCCTTCTCTTCCTCACTTAGCATTCCTGATAATGATATATTTCTTTCATCAGAATTCCCTCCCTCATCCCCCTTTGATTGGAGAGCAGTACCTCCCAAGATCAGAAGCTGCTACATATTTCTTTGAAGAGCACTTTCTTCTCTTTGATAAATACTACCAAATTACCTCTTGGAGTTAATTGACATCAGATTTTCTATTCCTTCTAATTGAGGCAACTTTAGAACTGTGTTCCAGTAGACCCGAAAAAGTCAGGAACTACCATTCTGCATGTGAGACTCTTCTACTGGAAAGAGTAAGAAAGCTTTGTCCAGCCTAGTGTCCAAAGTTAAGGTCACCATTTAATCCAGTAGGAAAACCTGTTTTTAATTCTCTTTACAAGTCAAGGAAAGGTGCCCCTCTTTTGATGGGTGCATCTGACATACCGCATGGACATCAAGGGTGTCCACACTCAGATCGTATGCTGTGAGATTCATGGTCTCAAAGACCTCTTTAAGGGTTTGCTCCTTGCCCTTTTCCACGTGAACGATTTCCTCCAGATGTTTCTTCATAGCCCGTTTGATGAAGCGTAGCAGATGCTTCTGATTCATGCAGGATGAAGCATGGATGTGTGTGTCCACCTGCTCAAAGAATTAGTGGATAAGTACGCAAGCTAGGAAGATGCAAGCTCAAATGTTATCTTAGACATCAGCTCATTAGCTGACTTCAAGAAAAAAAACTTTTATTCTCAGACTCAGCTCTGTTTTTCAATCTGTAGTACGGAAGTAACACTGACTTTCTTCCAAGATTGTTATAAGCATTAACATAATTATTTGGATGTTGTTTTTTAAAAAGACAATCCACATATATCAATCCAAAATGGGCCAGCTGAGTATAAAATTCAGCATTTCTGTTGAAAGTGTCCTGCTATCAATCTAAAACCAGTAGGTTCTGCTACTGTTCTCTTATCAATACAAAGAGATAAAAGGGGTGTACTGGTGAAGCTTTCTACAATAACTATTGAACTCTCCAGGTTCAACCATCTGTGGCACTGACATAGTCTGTAGCCCTAACTACCAGCATACATTCTCAAATTATACAGTGCTTCTACCTTCCGGATATTGTAGAAGTCACGGTGTGGCACCTTTTTCTGAGCTGCCAGCTCTTTCAACTCATTGAGCAGGACATGCATCTGGAACTTTGAACTTAAGTATTGAAGTCTCCTATAGCAGAAAGATTTTCTGTCCAAAGGTGAAAAGAAAACAATTTAAGATTTGCACACCCTGATTAGAACATTTTCCATGTGAGATTTAATTTCATGATTATCCCAGAAGCTGGCTCAGCACATAAATCAATAAAGGAACAATCTGCCTTTCCAGAAAGTTTTACATTACTGATGGGCAAGCTAGGTCCTTTTTTCCAGAAATAAAATATGGGAATTACTAAAGATCCCATACGATCAAGCCTATGCCAAGTCAGCCTAATGGTGAGACTACAGTACCTACTGTAGCCACTTTAAGTAGCTACTGTCTATTTACAAAAATGCTAAGAAATTTAAAAAAACATTTTGGCTCCTGATACTCAAAGTTGTTTTAAACTTTGTAGTCTATTGTAATCTGGAGGAAACTACCCACCTTCAAAAAGTCCAATACATTTTCTTTCAACTTGAATACATTTTGATTATCCCAGAAAATAGTCATATGAATTATTGACAAAAAAACCCATAAATGTGTCTCCCATATAATCTTACAATGACAATGTGTTTTACGTAATAGATTCCACGATCCTAATGTATGTAAAGCCACGCTTGTAGAATGGCTATTTGGAAAGAAGGAGTTTGACACCTTGGTTTTGCATATACAGATCAAAAAGGCGGAAAACAAATACAGATCAAAAAGGTGGAAAACTTACATGGGGCCATTGATGATCAGAGCCATTAGAACATTCATGTCAGCCACAAACTCCTGCAGGTCAGGATAAGGCAAGTCCAGTTCAGTGGTCCTTTTCAAAGTGCAACAGAGAACAGACCCCAAAGACATGAGCAAAGTTGCATCATGAAAGGAAAGCAAGGAAAGAACAAGAACCGCTAGCAGCATCTTACACTGCCCGGCTGTGCATTAGGGGATAGCTTTTTTAAGTAACCCAATAGATATAAACCTGTCAAACAAAGAATAGCCTCACCAACAATCCAGAAAAAATACTGTATTATTGTCACTAGTTAGTCACTAGTACTTTGAAAAATTGTAAGACGTATTTTACTCGAAAAAATAGAGCAACATGATGTTCTGAATTATTTGTCAGGCCTGAAGTAGACTAAATCATTGTTTTAAATTTAAATTGGCAAAAGCTCTTGGGTTTTACATTTGCTCTAAGATTAATAAAGGATAACAACTGATTTTCTATATTAGGCAGAGAGGAACTTTTCCAGCTTTCTGGACTGATGGTGGCGGCAGCGGGATGGGAAACGGAATGGTTCCGGGACATGCAAGCAGCGAGCATGTGTATGCAGTTCCAATTGTGTGAGTGGAGGACACGCTTGCTTGCTTGCACAGCCCAGTTCTGAACAAGGCCACGGCCTGGTGCCAGGCTGTGGCCCAGGGGTTGAGGACTCCTGATTTAGAATACAGTGTTGTCAATATCTTCGTGACATCAGCCTCAAAGTTTCTTTTACATCAGATCAAGGAGTTACAGTAGGAGTGGAGTCCAATGTCTGGAGCCCTAAACCTGGTTATGAGCTAGAGCAGGGGTCCTCAAACTTGGCCACTTTAAGACTTGTGGATTTCAACTCCCAGAATTCCCCAGCCAGCCATGTTGGCTGAGGAATTCTGGGAGTTGAAGTCCACAAGTCTTAAAGTGGCCAAGTTTGAGGACCCCTGAGCTAGAGGGTAATGAATGTCAGATGATTGGATCCACATCAGATCGAAGTGAGAGCAGCTGAAGATTCTGAGCTGCAATATCCTGTTTTTCCTTCCTTGCTGTTTCATTCTCAGTCCAGAAGTGTATTTTACTAGCTCCAATTGATACAAAAACTAGTATCAGCTTGGACCAGTGTTTCTGAACTTTGGCAGCTTTAAGATACTGACTGGGGAATTCTGGGAGTTGAAGTCCACACATCTGAGCCTGCTAGTCTAGACTGTAGTAGCCTGCTTTAAAATCAGTGTGGTTTCAAGCCTTCCGTGATGCAGAAGTCTGAGTTCACAAGCTGCAGATATGTTACATTTCTTTGTGTTTACCTATCTTGGCTACTAACTGGTTTCAGAGAACAATGAAGGCCTAAACAGTCAGACTCCTGTGTAGCTGAAGGTATTTCCTGTTTTCAGCTCCTGCCTTTTCAGGCTAGGCTGATGGGAAGTTAGAGAAATGTTGTTTGGTAATCACACCAAACTTGTGAAAATTTCCTAGCAATTGTTCCAATTGCACCATTGTGTTTTTTCCTTCACTTGCCACATACTTTTAAAAGGCTTTTTGTTAAACTTGACTTTCCCAGGATGTCATGAAGCTGTTATTTGTTTCGTTACTAAAGAGTGAGGTTTTACATATTTTTAAAAATAACCTTTTTTATAGCACTTTGCTTTGAAAGTGAAAGTAAAAATGAAAGCACAGTGCACATTTTTTATTTATTTGCTTTACTCTGTTCTATTAATGGCATGTACTTTTTAGTCAAGTAATGAGCTTTCCTAACTGAAATTTGTTGTCTCATTACAGGTGATTGGCAGCCACAGCTCCAGACTATTTAATAAATATTATTTTCCATGTTTCCTGAGGCCAGATAGATAAAGGAAAAAAGTTGTCTGCTTTCTTGCTATTGTAGTCATGCTAATCATCACACACTATATGTGCATAAATAATGATTGGCAAAAAAAAAAAGGAAATGTAGCAGATCATTTTGTGTATACCACAAAATATTGCTCGAGAATATACCATGAGCCTTCCTAAAATATAGATTACCTCTATATTTCTGTATGAGATAATTATAGATTAATTTTTACTTTCATTACGTCTATGTTTTCTTTGGAGTTTACTAAGTCAAAAGCATTCATGATTCCTAGCTGCTGAGAAAAATGAGAGGATCAGAAATCTTGCTCAGCTAAATATGAATCATAGATAATATCACTGGCCCAGATGTTATTTCTCTTCCAGATTTTCCCTATTAACCAGGTTATTCTCATGCCCTCAGCCACCTACTTACTTGTCGGTGATGTCCTGCTTGGTGTACACATGAACTACTCCATTGACCATCCTGAGGCCAAAGCCAAGATCTCCAGGCATTGAGTCAGGATCACATTTTTCATAAGGGTGCTGGTGTGCAAATGGCGGATGCACTGGAGCATCTGTAACAGAGGAAAATGCTTACAAGAAGCCACCCATCTGCCCAGTGACCTTGGCTGTTGTAGTTAAGAGTTGAATGGAATGCTAAAAGAGAAATAAAAAGCTAATACCTCTGGCCCACACCATAATTCCCCCCCCCCTTTCATTGGTTGCTGAGTTCCCATCCTCTTCCTCCAATGGTGCATGGGCACAAACCAAGCAAATCAGTTATGCAGAGGCTGAATAGGTACAGCTAGTCCTATGATGGCTATTAGGATTGGGATTTCCATTGCTATGTGATGTGGTTACAAAGTGTGACTGCATCACTTAGAGATAACAATCCCTGCAGTCCCGGTCATTGTTGTTAATCAAATCCCATGGTTGTTAGGCAAGGCAGCTTCCTGCCAGTATCCACAACCAAAGTCAGTGGGGAAGCCGGCCGGAAGTCTCAGGCTGAAAGGGAGGTAAGTGACTGTTGCCAGGTGGGGAAAGGAGCAAGAGAGTGTCCAGGGGAGGCTGAGGGGAGAGCGAGGGAAGATCTGGAAGAGTGTGTAAGAGGTGAGGCACAAGTCAGCATGGGTTTACAAGGGGAGTGCAGGAGAGGTATGAGTCGGGGAGGTTAACAAGGGTGCATGAGAGGGTCAGGGTCAGGGAGGGAGTATGAGAGATGCGATATAGGTTGGGGAGGCTGTGTGAGAATGCAAGGGGTTGTGCAGGAAAATCCAGCAAGGGTCAGGGAGGGTGTGAGGAGATGTAGGAGAGGCATGGTGAGGGTTGGGGAGGGTGCAAGGGAAGCAGGGCGAGGGCCAGAGAGGGTGCAACTGGCTGGTATGGTACAAGCGAGGAGAGGGTGAGGGAGGTTGCATGGGTGAGAGAGAGACTTATCCCAGCAATGTGTGACCTTCCCTGATGGCTTCCCCACTGACTTTCTGGGCAAGCTGGATAAGGAAGGTTGCAAATGGTGAGCGTGTGATCACAGGGTACCGCAACTAGTCGTAAGTGCAAACCACTCATAAGTGCCAAGCACCCATATCACAACTGTGGGACCGGGTGGTGCTGGGATATCTAGAACTCCAAGGACCAGTCATAACCATCATCCCCTAGCACTGGTGTAACTTAGAACGGTCACTGAATGAATGGTCACAGCTGAGGACTACCAGTAACCAGGTTAACTTCATATTGTATATAGAATGTGATGGGGCCACTGCAAAGTAGTACCCAATCCTCCCCAGATGTACTGGGCTACATCCCTCACTTGGCAGCTTTCCAAGATATTTGAGGATGAGGAGATTGGTAATCCAAAGCATCAAGAGAGCACCATGTTGAGGAAGCCTAATTATGTTACTCCTTCCCATTTACCTCAAAATCTGTTTAGATTGCATGTTTCTATGGAAACACAGAAAACTTGCAGCTTTGGATGTAGTCAAAATATTTAGACTACGTGTAAAATTCCTTTGTTATTCCTGAGAAGTATGCCTTTTTCTCTTTCTCTTTGAATTTTAGAAGTAAGTTTCTAGTTGGCTTTAGACATAGCTTAAGATGCATTGGAGACGCCTGTTTGAACTCATCAAATCTAGAGTCTTTTTGTTTCTCCTGTAATAGTTAACGAAGATCCTACCCCTGTTCACTTCCTTGCCTTTTTCTTTATTAGCAAAATCCAATTAGAATATACAGAACGCAGCATATACCAAATAAGTGAAATCAGCTTCTTTCAGCATAGAACTGGAATTTCCTTCATGCTTTTTTAAATCTCTCCCACATAAAAAAAAATCTGTTAGTTTACAGAAACCTTGCAGAATGCATAAGCATGGAGAGATAACTGTGGAGTTCCTGCAGCTATCCAGTCTAGTCTATCCCAGTAGCAGATAATGCAGGATTTGTTATTGCAACCGTCACTGATTGTGAAAGAAGTTGTTGGGCCTCAAGGTTTTCTCCTTCCAGACTATTTGCCAGGCTTCATAGTTTAAACCAGTGTTTCTCAACCTTGACAATTTTAAGGCATGTGGACTTCAACTCCCAGAATTCCACAGCCAGCATTGCTGGCTGTGGAATTCTGGGAGTTGAAGTCCACATGCCTTAAAATTGTCAAGGTTGAGAAACACTGGTTTAAACTATCAGTCTAAAATCCTATTGAAGCCTCTTTTTCTAACTACCATCTTAGCCATCTCTGTCACTAGAATTAGGGAAATGCTTTTTGTCAACCCATGCCCAGTTCTGATCCTTACCTGCGGCCACGGGAGTCTCAGGAATCTCCTCATACATCCTGAGGGCAAAGGGTTTTTCCGAAAGATCCTGCAGGAACCGGGCTGTGGTTTTACAGAAGCTTTGAAGAGAAAGCCCCATGTACTTCTCCCGGATGAACAATGCTTTGACCACACTTTTAGCAGCATCCAATAGGTCTATGAAGGGCACCTGTATAGGGCAAAAGAAAAGCAGTTTATTCAACTGAGGGGGGTTGTCAAAGCCTCGTTGTGGAAAGTTTCACAGGCTAAAAAACAGAAGGAACACCAGAGAAGCACTTTGAATACCAGAAGGCCTCAACAAAGGTTTTGCATTGTACCAGAGTGACTGTCACGAAAACCAGCTAATAAGGAACATTGCCAAAATGCTTTCTAATATTTTCTCTGTGATCTACTTTTTCTTTACAGGAAGCAGCAGGATTGGAGATCACAGGATTCTTAATCCATGTTTTAGCTCATATGCATGGTTTAATCAACTGAAGCTATTACAACAACTTAATAGTCTACAGACAAAGTTATGATGCAGCCAACTTTATATCTGGCAGGACTGCAAGAAGCCAAGTCAAGTTGGTTGTTCAGCAAAACCCTCATTCACACATACATATTTCTCCAGGGATTTATGGCAAATTGACTTGAGTCTCCAATGGGAGACTTGAGGAAGTTCTCTGTTCATCATTTTATTGTTTAGTACGTTTTAATAACCCTAGCACTGATGAAGTTATCTAAGTTTTGATAATGAAATGTCTGCAAGAAAATAAGCAAGCTCAGAGAGCACCAAAGACCCTCATGCTTTAATAAGTTGTTGTTTTTTGTCTTGTATGCCATCCAGACTCATGTAGCTTGAGTTGGCCACTTGAATGAATGTTCAACAGCTAATAGTTCCAATAAAGCCATTACAAAGACTTATATAACTCATTATGCAAGTAGCAGTGAACAACCCCATCCCCGTTCCTTGTTGCACTGATCTCCATGCTCACAACATGGTTGCCTCAGCAGGACCACCAAGATTCTGGCTTACATAGAAGTGACCAGGGGAGAATTAGGCTCTGAACTACCAATAAATATTGGTAGTCAGTGGACACTGACTCTTCGCTAATATCACCAGTGTAACTGTGAGAGGGAAGGATCTGCTTACTGCTCACCTTCTCAGCTGGGGAAAATATAGCAACATTTGTGGCTGGCTCCAAATTTGAGGTTTCTCTCATTCACTGGCTTCCCTCTCTTTTGCTTTACTTATTTATATATCTGTTTGTTAATTTAAATTTCTCTCCTGTCTTTTCATCAACAAAACACATTTATGAAAAGTAAGCATAAATAAGTTAAAAAATAATTGTTCAAAATGGCAATTCTATCAAACCTTTCCCCCCCCCCCTCTGAAATGTCGGGCAACAAGGCCAGAGCAGCACAGAGGAATCAGTTTAACCCAAGCATAGATAAACAGCTACATCTTAAACTGATCCCGGAAACTTCAAAAGCTTGGCCCCAGCCATAGCTCAATAAAGGGGAGACTTGCCCAGCTGGAGTCCTCAGAAAGCCCTCTTTTGGATGGCTGCATCCCAGATCCCTGGCCGATGTAGCACCTCCGAGAACACATCCTGACTTGAACTTGGTTGAAGGGCAGCAACAGAGTGACTCTATCAAAGCTCCTGGGGAACGTACTTCCCAGAACCCTGCAAGGCCTTGGGTTTTTGTAAAAACAAACAACATTCCAGTTCTCAGCAACAGCAACAGCAGTTTTCCTCTGCATTGCTCTGGAAGTCAACCCAAATCAGCATGGAAGAATATGCAAAACAAAAACCACATGCTTTTGCGGCAGCAGCAGTATGGGTTTTTTTTTTCTTTCTTTCTTCAAATTCATCTCTCAGCCACTAGGAAAAACAATTAAGAGCCAGTAGAATGTTTTTTTAAAGCACTTTGAAGGGATTCTACCCCTTTTAAAATGTTTTTTTAAACCACCAAGGTCTCTAAAGTGAGAAAATTTGCATCTCTTTGCTGAGGTGGGGGAGCAGAACATAGTTTTAAAATAAATAATAGGCACTCAAAAATAACAGAGCTTTTACTGCTGGTCCCAAAGGTGCTTTTCCAAAAGGCAGCTGGACTTTCTTGGCTTTTTCCTTGAAAACATTTCGCTTCACATCCAAGAAGTGTCTTCAGGTCTGATGAAACATCACCCAGTAGCTAGCTCTTTGAATTCTGCGATTTTTCAAGGAATGCATATAATATTTTGGGAACGCAGAAAGCTTTCTGCAATGTGGCTAGCATATCTGTCTACCTAATTTACTACCTTACCCTATTAAATTCTCCATTATAGGAAACTTTAATAAAAAAAAAACCCTGTTGCCTGCAATCCACGTGCTTTATCTTCAACCTATGTTTTCTCCCTAACTCAGAGCAAGGACAGTAGTTCAGCTTTCCCCAATTTAATATCCTCCAGATATTCTGGATTTTAACTCCCACCCGCCTTGACCAAAGTGGCTTAAAATAATGGGAGTTGTCATTAATGCAACAAGCCTCAAGTTGTAGATGGGTATCAGAGACTAGTCGTTTCTGCGGTATTTCCAAATACAGCAGCATTATGTTCTGTAGCAGGAGTAGGCAACTAAGTATCTTTCAGATGTTTTCATCAACAACAATCAGATTATTGATAATGGTGACCAGAGGTTTGGGGGTTGTAGTCAAAGATAGGTGGAGGATGTCAACTTGCCCATCTTTGTGTGAGGGTCTCTGAAAGAGAATCAATGTGTATGTGTTGGGGGAAATGAGAACAATTCCTAAACCAAACAGACTTACCCCACATGTCTCTTCTCCAGAGATGGTGACCCTCTGGAACTCTCTCTCCAAAAATACATCTCGCTCTTTTGGAAGGTAATCTACTAGATCTTCACCCTGTTCTTTATATAATCTGGGGGGAGAAGAAGGGGGGAAAGAGGGAGAATGAAGGAACCACCATAAGGAATAGTCTCTGATCAATTCTGTCAGCTACAGGAGTCCCCTTTTCCAGCAGGCATGTGAAGACACAAAATCGAATGCACAAACATGGGCAACACAGGGACTTTCAGGCGTATCCTCCAATGGCAGCATTCTGAACTATGGAAAGGGGTGAGGAACAGCAGTGGGCAACAAATAGTTTCAGACCTGTGGGCATACAACATTCAGCAGAACTAGTAAAAAAAATGTTCCTGAGGCCCAAATTTACCAGACGCTTGGCTGCCCATTTCTATATTGAACAATCAAACATTTGGTTAAGCAGGGGTTTTCAAACGTTTTCAGGCTGCAAAAATTCTTAGAAAGGAGGCAAACTTCTAGTGGTAAAAAATTGACTGTGCTTGAATGATCTTTCTTTCTTTCTTTCTTTCTTTCTTTCTTTCTTTCTTTTTCTCCATCAAGTTCTGGTAGAACCCCATAATTTCACCAAAAACTGTTTGGAAAAAACCTGATGTAGAGTATCAGTAGAATAGATTTCCCAGGGCAACGACTTATCCTGGCAAAGCTGAAGGAGCTGATCATCTGCCTAAAACAATGAGAAACATCCTACTTGGCTGAGCTTCTGGGTTCTCTAGGACCCAGGCTGCTCAGTCAACCAATGCACAATGAAAGAGGGAGGGGAAAAGGAAAATATAAAACAGAGACAAACAGCTCTATCCACTAGGCCTGCCTTGAAAATAATTGCTTTAAGAAGGACAGGAGGGAAACAGAGCTCAGAAAAGGAACAAGGGAAAGCAACCAATAGTATGAAGTGAGGAATCCCCCACTCACTGGTGTTGAGATTTATGGGACTGGAAGATGCAAAAAATAAAACGGAGGTTTGGTTTAGCCCAGTGGTTCTCAACCTTTTTAATGCCGCGACCCCAACTGGTCGTAAGTCGAGGACTAAACCGGTTGTAAGTCGAGGACTAAACCGGTCGTACGTCGAGGACTAAACCGGTCGTAAGTCGAGGACTACCCAACCGGTCGTAAGTCAAGGACTTTCCCTGCTTGGGAGCGCCATGCATGCGTGGTTCCGCCCCCTGCACCGGCCGAGGCGTAGCTGGCAAGCGGCAGAGACGGAGCAGGCCGACCACCAGCTGGCCCAGCCCAAGGGAGGTAAGGCACCCGCCGGAAAAGGGGGAAAAAATGGCGGACAAAAAAAATGGCGGACAGCCTTGCTTGGCAACCCCCATGAAATGGTCGATCGACCCCAAATGGGGTCCCGACCCACAGGTTGAGAACCACTGGTTTAGCCCAATAATATTTGGTCTGGTTCAAAATAAAATGGTCCCCCTATTTTTCCATCTTAGATAGGCTTTTTTCTCAAAAGAGTTTGCTTAAGTGACACACACAGATAAGCATTTCAATATGGCAGCTGACTTTAGCCTTTCCTTTCCAGAGGGGTCTTTGTTCTAACGTACCAAACTTTTCTTGGGAGGACAAATTCACTTCCGGGAGTAACCACTTCCATTCTGAACTCTGGTTCTATCTGAATCCTCCCAATGTGGTTACTCAGCCTTTCCCCAGCCTGGTGCCCGCTAGAAAGTCCATCATCATCCCAAAACAACAGGATAGCAACATGTTGGGAAAAAATGCCTTAACTTAATGTGGATTAAGGTTTTCATAGCAGTTTGTGGAATTAATTTTAATAGCAACATCCCCAGCGGTGGTACAATTGCATGTGGGATACAGTGTGTGCAGGGGGGACGGAACTTTGCAAAAGAGAAGGTCACTCACTCTGGATCAGTCAAGGTGGGAATAAGGAGAAGAGTCAGCCTGCGGGAAAGTCCCGCACCCACCTCTGAGTCAAAGGCAGAGAGAATTAAGGCCAGGCACTCACTGTAGGTCGGCATCACTGTCAATTTTCAGGAAGTCCTGTTTGGCTCTGAGTAAAATGTCAGGTTCTAGTCTGAGGACAAATGGGAAGTGGAGGCCAAGGCCAAGAAAAGGACAAACAGTCAGAGAGGGGAGAAAGAAAGAGGAAGAGGAAATGGTAAAGAAGATGAGGAGAAAAAGAAAAACACTGGCATTAATGCAGAAACCAATATCAGAAATGGCAGACACTATACAGCAATATACTAGCAATGGGATCCAAAAGAGAATGAATGTAAGAGGTCCATGTAAAATACCATGACTACGCTCTGGTTTGGCTAGTAAAAAAGCACTGCTGGTTCCCACATAATCGTTTCCCTTTATTTGAATTTCCTTCCCTCCTCCTCTTTGATTACTACCAGCCAGTTTGTTTTCCAAACCAATCCTAAACCCTCTACCCAAACCCCTTTCACAGGGTCTGCCTTTAAGAGATATAGGCAGGTAAATAGCTTAACTACTTTCCTCTTTCCTGGGATAAACTCATTATACACATATGACCCATATAATGCCCCTTTACAACTGAAGATCAAAAACTTTTGGGACAGTGGGAATATTTTCACTGGAAGAGAAGGAATCCGTTATCTCCAATATTGCTCTAATAAAAGGAAGTCCTACACCCTCCTTAAGAAGTTATTTTCCTGGATCTCTGTTTGTGCTTCTTCTCTAAAAGTCTGCTTTTCCTAGATTGCCACAACATCCCCCACTGGGCATTTTTGGGAGCTGAAAAACTGGGCTTCTAGAATAATGTTTTTCCCAGCGAGTCGACTGCCTTCTAACTGTTCAACAGAACTCACATGCATTAATCTCTACAGCAAACCATGTTCTGCCTATTGTCTTCCTTCTCCCTAAGTTTTTTCCTTCCAATGGATCTTTCCTTCTGTCTCACCTCTGCAATTCCCTCTTCCTTCTTCAGAGAATCACAAGTGCACCACTGGTTGCCAGGCATCAGGCAGGCAAACAGGGAACTGGTACCTTCCATTTCCTCTGCCTAAACAATGTCCCCCCTCATACTGAGGCCCTGGCTTGAACCACTGAAGAAATAGCTCTGATACTTTGCAGCCCTTCACAAGTGAGATTCTGATTAGAAGTAAACATCTGCAGGATCCTAATGGCCAAATATGCCATTATTCCACCATGCTGTTTCCTCTTCCTGTTCTGGTCTCTAAGGGACTATAGGAAAGTACAGCAAGATGGAGGTAGATAAAACCCAGATATTTTCTGCATGCTGTAAGGTTGCTAGTTGCTAAAGAATCTTACCAGTGAAAATCTAACAGTAAGAAAACTGTGTGCAGGGCAAGCAAAGTGTAACAATATCAGCCACACACATATATGCACATAGACACACAGTCATGCCACTGACAGATGACTATATGAACGCTTCTCTTGACATGATGGTTACTATCACTGCAGAAGTAGAAGCAATGAAATGACATTCCTGGATATTTCCAAAGTCTCTATCACACTTTTTCTAGACCAGGGGTGTCAAACTGCCGGCCTGCGGACCGGATGCGTCTCGCTAAAACTGCGCCCACCCCATTGCCAGAAATGGAGAAAAAGTCATGATACGTCGCGATATGTCACATGACGTTACGAGTTTGACACCCCTGTTCTAGACTTTAAATAATCCATTTGAAAAAAATCCATTTAATTTCTTCCCATCTTTTCCAGTTTCAAATATTCTTACCATCCTGTTCTTTTTTCCCCAAAACTCCAGTGAAATGTTCCATCCTGCTCTTGAAATATCAAAAGGAGTTAGGAGAAGCTAGGAAAAGTCCAAAAAACATTGGCAACTTACTTCACATCCTGGCTTATCTGCCGCTCCAACCGTTGGCGCCTCTCTTCTAGCTGTTCAATGGGGCTGTCTTCTGGAAATTCATAGGGAGCACTGCGCATTTCACTCTCAGCCAATGAGTGACAAAACAACTCCTGCAAGCATAGCAGCACAGTGCTACTGGAATATCCATACAGGTGTGCATGCAACTTCAATGAAGGTCTTAATCATTCTATGAGGTTAGATAGGATGGGCAGGCTCCTAGTCCCTCCCCTTAAACATTGCCACCTTAAGGGAACCAAAAAGCATGCCTTTTCTGTGGCAGCCCCTGCCTTATAAACACTCCTCAGGACTCTATGCTCCTAGCCTTCCAACAAGCAGTGAAGACTTGGCTCCCCCTGCCAAACCCTTGTGCTGGGATAGGATGAGGGGACAGCATGTTAGAAGCTTGACTTGGCACCAGGTTTTTTTTTTAGTATTTATGATTTTATTAGTTTTAATATGGTTTTTATGTGGTTTTAATTCTTTATTTGGAGCTATCCAGAATTTGGTATAAGACGGGCAGCCACAGGTAGTTCTTGAGTTACCATAATGGAACCTGTCCATTACAGTTGTAAGTTGGGATAACCATAAATCAGGTCACCCATGTAACTGGCCTAATTTTATGATCTTTTTTGTGGTGGTTGTTAAGCAAATGCCATGGCTGTTAAATAAAGCAATGGTTTGCTATAGGCCAGTGTTGCCAAAAATCGGAAGTAAACACTGGTTTTTGGCAAAATGGTTGTAAAATGCTGTCACATGACTATGGGAAGTTCACGTGATTGAAGGGAGTGGGTAGCTGTCAGAATTCAAATCTGGGTCGTAAGGAACCTTTGGGGGAGCTGTCGTAACTTTAAACAGTCATTAAGCAACCAATCGTAGGTCAAGGACTACCTGTATATAAATGTTTTAAATAAATAAGGGAAGCAAATTTCTATTATGCGTAAGAAACAACCATCTGAGGAGTCCATTAAAGGCTGTTCTGGGACAATCTGCCAGGACTAGAATCTCATGTCAACATCAGTGAAAGTTCTGCTGCTCAGTGGATTAGAAAACTATAACATGATGTACCCTTGATTAGGATAGTAATTTACATTGAGGTCATAACTGTAGTAATCTAAAATTGTTCCAGTGTTGGCTGTTGGATGAATCTTATAACTGCTGCTTCTCATTGTTCAGGTCATCAAAGAACACATCAATGATTAATAAAGTCAAAGCCACACCCAGGAGCATACCTTATCCAGTATATTTTAGACACACTAATCTGTCAACATCAAGGAACTGCCAAGTAAACAAGCTCTTACTTGCTTCCTATGAAAGTAAGGCAGAAGCTACATAACCTAACACAGTGTTTCTCAATCTTCCCAACTTGAAAGATGAGGTGACTTTAACTCCCAGAATCCCCCAGCTAGCATTCGCTAACATTTCCCACTCTCCACCAAGATGTGAAGCCTGAGAAACACTATACTACAGTGTAGTGCAGTGATGGCGAACCTTTTAGAGACCGAGTGCCCAAACTGCAACCCAAAACCCACTTATGTATTGCGAAGTGCCAGGGGGTGCCCTCAGGGGGGTGGGGGCGGGTGTGGCCATGGGTGGGCGTGGCTGCGGTGGTCACAGCAGACGGAGTGGGCGTGGCCGGGATGGGCATGGCCACCCTGATGTTGCTCGTGGGGGGGTGTCTGTGGGGGCTGGGCAGGATTGGGGGAGATCCAGGGGGTCTCTGGTGGGTGGGCGGTGGGCAGGAGGCTCGTCCTGCGAGGTGAGGCAGGGGGTAGGGCGGGGGTGTCATTGCTGCAGGGCAAGGTGAGGCAGGGGCAGCTGCTGCCTGACACCATCAGCCCCCACACACAGATGCCAGCGAGCGCATGGGGGGGCGTGCTCTACTGCCTCTACTCAAGCTTGCTAGCCAGCTGCTTCGCCTCCTTTGTGCTGGATGGGGCTGCTGCTCCGGGCGCCAGCGGTGGCCTAATGGACCTGCACAAGCTGGCGGCGGTGGCAGCAGTGGCAGGCGTGCCCACAGAGAGGGCTCTGAGTGCCGCCTCTGGCACACGTGCCATAGGTTCGCCATCACTGGTGTAGTGTATGAAGCCTATCCAACTTGTCAAAAAAACCCTCATGACCAGGCTGCTTAGTGACGGCAATTCCGATAATCCCAATTGCTGTCTGTCCTGAGTGATGACTGCACGGCTCACTGAAATAGGTCATCATGTGATCATGACTTGCAAATTTTTGTCAGCTTTTCTTTGTCAGAAGCCAGCAGGGAAGTTCACAATTGTGAGCCAGGTGACAGCCGTTAATACAAGGAGCAATCTTAACTACCATTCATTCAGCACCATTGTAAGTTTACTGAATGAGTGGCTGTTAAATGAGGACCACCTGTATTAGATTACAATCCTATCACCCCTCCAGTGGCTGGCTTCTGGCGCATACTTTGGGGAGTTCAGAGTAGAAGGTGAACGGGCAAAAAACCCTTGTTCTGCTTTTATTTCTGGGATCCAAAAATAAGTTGCTTCAAGAGCAATTCTTTACTAAGAGACTTTAAATCTATTTTCTCCAGTCAACCCTTCTCTCCTATAAATGCTAGAGAACCACATGGATTCAAAACAATTTTCTCCAAATAGAATGACAAATGGTCTTTTTTTTTTAATATTAAGGAAAACAACCCAAGAAAAATTGCATGACTTTAACATGTTCGTTTTACAGCCTTTCTTCTACAGTGAACAGTGCACCTGCACACACAACTGGTGAGGAATAAGCAGATCTACCTCAGCAAGCTCTTTGTACTTGCCATCCATGGAGGTCCGTAGGTCAACAGGAAAATGCTTCAGGCAGTGGGAAGGCCCTGGGAGGGAACGTGCAGGCTGCAACTGCCGGGACCGCGGCCCTCCGTGGATCTCTGTGGATGCAAGGAGGATGGGAATCAGGCAGACAGGAAAAGCTACTAGGTCTGAGAAGCAAGAGGAACGAGCCAAATATTAATAACATCCTCTTTCTCCTTAGATCATACACAAACTTGCAATATTAGTTTATTCAGATTCATTTGCAGATCTTGGAAGTTGGCAGATTTTCACTGAATTACTGTTACTGCAAGACAATTCGCTTTTCCATAAATACCATCCCAGTCCGGTTGGCACATTTAAAGGAAAGGGACTTTAGCTTACAGAAGGTGTATCACACATACCCCTTTGTTCACCAATTCAATGTTCTCCCATGTTAGCCTTAGAAATCAGTTCAGAACTGCTAACTATGCACAAGGGGGGGGGGAGGAGAGCATTCCACAATGTATTTTAGAAATGTCCAACATTAGTTCCTTCAGCTCTTCCTCCTTAAAAGAGAAACAGGCTTGTTATTTGTGAATAGTTTCCAAAAACTATTTCTATCTTCATGCTATGAAAAATATGCTGTTGGGACTCATACCGGTCTCTGGTCTGATAGACATATGATACTAATGACAATTTTAATACTCAAAATGGTTAGGAGGTAAGTGTGACTAGTAATGAATAGCTATTAAAAACAAATATGACATCTGTGTGAAGCATGCCTGGTTTTGTTTTTCATTTCTGGCTTCATATTTCTCAATGCAGGAACCCATGCCAAATTTGCTTGTTACAGACTGAGTCCATGTTAAAAATAAGAAATAACTTCCTAAAAGAAGTGGAGTCCTTTACCTTCTCTGAGCCTAGTTGTTTGCTTGCAAATATTTCATCACATGACTAAAGAGCAACATCTGTGCTACTCAGTGTGAAGTTTTTTCCCTGTTTACTGTATATATAATAGTTTGCCCTGCCAGTGTTAGTAAGGGTATGATTGTCTGTTTGGTAGTTCCTTGATTAGGGTATTGTTTTCTGCTTGATAGTCTGGTGTTAATCCCTGCTTATCTGTGTATAAGCTTCTGGAGATATGTTCTGGTCTTTTTGTTTCCTTCTTACATTTTTATTGACTAGGTATCTATTGATGATTGATTTGTCTGAATGCCAAGCTCCTAGGAATTCCCTAGCATTTTGGATTTAGCTTGGTCTAAGATGCTCTCAGTTTCCCCCTCAAACTATGGCTGAGTCTATGTATTGTATGATCAAGGAGTTTTCATTGTCTTCTGAGTGCGAGTGAATTCTTACACTGCATGTTGTAGATGACCTCTGTTTTTTGTCTTCTTGGAGTCTTTTGATTTACTTAACATGTTTTGGAGGGCTTTTATTGGTTTGTGTACTATGGTGATGCCATGTGTTGTAATAATCTGTTGGTTGTTTCTGAGATAATAATAATAATGATGATGATGATAATGATGATGATGATGATGATGTTGGAAGGGACCTTGGAGATCATGTAGTCCAATCCCCTGCTCAGGCAGGAAACCCTTCACCACTTCAGACAAATGGCTGTCCAGTCTCTTCTTAAAAACTTCCAGTGTTGGAGCATTCACCACTTCTGGAGGCAAGTTGTTCCATTGGTTAATTGTTCTAACTGTCAGGAAGTTTCTCCTTAGTTCTAGGTTGCTTCTCTCCTTGATTAGTTTCCGTCCATTGCTTCTTGTCCTGTCTTCAGGTGCTTTGGAGAATAGCTTGACTCCCTCTTCTCTGTGGCAGCCCCTGAGATATCATATCATCCCTCGTTCTCTTCATTAAGACATACTCAATTCTAGCAACCGTTCCTTATATATTTTAGCTTCCAGTCCCCTGATCATCTTTGTTGCTCTTCTCTGTACTATTTCTATAGTCTCAACATCTTTTTACATTGTGGTGACCAAAACTGGATGCAGTATTCCAAGTGTGGCCTTACCAAGGCATTATAAAGTGATATTAACACTTTGCATGATCTTGATTTTATCCGTTAATGCAGCCTAGCATTATGTTGGCTGTTTTGGCAGCTGCAGCATACTGCTGGCTCAGATGTTTTTGATGTGTGGTAGTGTTGTTCTTTACATAGCCTGTGTTGGTGGTGCTTTAGTGAATTAAGTGATCAGCTACTTTTTGATAAAGCTGGAAGTCTGTTTCCTTTTTCTGGCATTCTGGGTTGCCACAATGCATTTATATTCATTTGAATAATGTTCTCACAGCTCCTCTTATGAAAGATTGGGTTGTTACGGTACTTTAGTAATGGGGCAATTGGTTAGTGTAGGTTGTTTTCCAATAGATTTCTTTTTCTAATTTGCTGTCTGATGATGAAGATAAGGAGGGCAGTGTGTTATTAGCTTTTTTTCTTCCCTTCTGAATTTTATTCCTTTGAGGCTATTGCTGATTGTTTTCATGTGACTTCTTTAATCGTTCCATCTTTATCATGATGTCAAGCTGTTCATCTACATACCGGATTTATACTTTTGGTTGTATGTATGGCAGAGCTATATCTTCTAGATCAGCGGTTCTCAACCTATGGGTCGTGACCCCATTTGGGGTTGATCGATCATTTCACGGGGGTCGCCAAGCAAGGCTGTCCGCCATTTTTCCCCCTTTTCCGGCGGGTGCCTTACCTCCCTTGGGCTGGGCCAGCTGGTGGTCAGCCTGCTCCGTCTCTGCCGCTTGCCAGCTACGCCTCGGCTGGCGCAGGGGGCGGAACCACGCATGCGTGGTGCTCCCGGGCAGGGAAAGTCCTCGACTTACGACCAGTTTGGTAGTCCTCGACTTATGACCGGTTGAGTCCTTGACTTACGACTGGTTTAGTCCTCGACTTACGACCTGTTTAGTCCTCGACTTACGACCAGTTGGGGGTCGCGGCATTAAAAAGGTTGAGAACCACTGTTCTAGATGCTGCTGTAAGTTCTGACAGTGGTGATCACACAGGTGGTCTTCTAATTTTTTGTCCATCTAACTGAAAGTACTGAGGCAGAGGTTGTTGAGGACCATGATTTTGGGTATTTCAATCTTATATATTGGCTAGGTCGGATATGTTGTGTAGTACTGTTGCTATGGATTCTTTCACTAGTACTGGATGTATGAACATAAAGAGTGCTGTCACTTTGAATGAAACCATAATTTCATCTTCCTCAGTTTTTAGGTCTTTCACTTTCTGGATGCACTATATTTTCTGACAGCATTTTATTTTCTAAAGGCATTTTGATTTTTTGAAAGAGCATAAATAAACAACCAAGTTCAGAGAGCACAAGGACTCCACAGTTCAACCCTGAGCTACTTATAATCTCTTCTATTGGTCCTAAAAGAAGTGCTATCTCTACCTAGATCAGATTTTTTCCATCTGTCCCTAAGGACCCATCATTAGAAATAAAATAAACTCCAAAATCAAATGACAGTTGTCCATGAATATATCTCTCTCCATGAGCCTGTCAACATTTGGAAACCATCTTAATAACCAACTTCCTCTGTTGGCTGCAGCAGCACTCAGATACCAGACAGAAAGCCCCAGATTTTTAACCTTTACATGTTATGTAATCTGGAAATCTCCCTCCTAATAATGAGAAGAGCCTTCCGCATAGTTCTTCCACATGAAAGAATCTCATTTCTTTCACTATATGATCATGCACTATTTTTGTAGATAGCATAAAATGCATAAGCCTCACCTGTTCAATAGAGCCCTGTGAGTGTTAGGCAAGTCACCGCTATTCCCCTCCCCAAGGGAAAGAAATGGACTATTGTCAGAAATGGACTATTGTCAGATAATAGTGAATGATGTAAGCCAAGAAGGGATTTCACAGTCTTCTCCACAATGGAAACCCACCCCATAGTTATTATGTTATTATTATTATTTTATTATTATAATAATAATAATAATAGTTATTATGTTGCCATCTTATCCCAAATATACAGTTAACAATACCAAGGCTGATATTCAAATGCAGGGGAAATAATCATCAAATGAGTTTAGTGTTTATTGAAACACATACACAAAACTGGCACTTTGTACCTGAGTTTCCCTTGGGTACACTTGGGAAATGCCAACAATGAACTAAAAAGGTTTGCAACCAGGTATGGAAAGGGGCTTTTCACAGGATATGGCCATCCAGATTGTAATGGGGAAAACCATTACTGCTTCTCTCAAAGTAGAAAGTTCTAATTTCTGCCATGCTTGGTTAAGACATTTCTCAACTTCAGCAACTTTTAAGTTGTCTGGACATCAACACTCAGAATTTCCCAGTCAAGTCATTTTGAGAGTCATAGCCCACATATCCTAAAGCTGCTTAGGTTGAGAAACACTGGATTAGTAGTAGAATTTCCTATAGGTCTTCTGGCAGTGATAAGGACAAGAGAATGCTACTGAAGGTGCCAGGCAAGCGAAACAGGCATATTTTTTTTATCACTTTCAATATAGTACACAACTGCCTCTTTGCAGTCAGGGAAAAGCCTTCGCAGCCAAGACTCAAAAGCCCCAAATCCTATCCTGCTGGGTTTCACTAGTACACAACTAATACGTCAGTTTGGAAATCAGTATCTTAGCTGTCTTCCAGAGACACTGAACGAACAAACATCATCTGTCCTGTTAAAAAGAACCTGGCAAAACCACCCTATATAGACTGCAGAGGCCAAGAGCAAAACCTCAGGAGAAATCAGCCAGCCTTATCCTGGGCTTCAGGGACAACATCACAAGAAAGCATTGCTCCCAAAGTCCATTTTGTTGTGCTTTCAAACCTCAGGCCTTCATTCTTTAATGAGAGCTGCTGCCTGCAGATCAGACCTTTCCTCTCTGCTGCTGCTGCTGCAACAGAACAGCCACTCCTAGCTCAGAGGCACGGGCAGGGGTGGGTGTCAGTGGTGCTGGAGAAATCTACAGAGAGATGGCCAAGAGTAATTTCTTTCTCCAACTCCCTCTGCACAATGGGGGGACCAGTAAGTAGTAAAAAAACAGAGAACCACCAGCATCGACTACATCTCCTTTTGTTGTAGCTTTTCATGCCGTAGAATGTATATGGACCTCAATGTTCCTAAAATAAAGCAAATTAAAATATATGGA